CACACACACACACACACACACTTAACTTATGATACTACTGCGATATTTCAGTGCATTTTGTGTTTCAAGACCAAAAAATCATTTAATAGCTGATATACTAATTTAATAGCTGATATACTAATTTAAGCTGAGAGCTTCTTCTCTTGAGAAGTGGATAAATAGATGATCTATCGTACTAGAGAATAAATCAAAATACACGAAATCGGAAATACATTGCAATAGACGCAATGAGCATGTCATACAATATGACTACGTTTACACGGCTCGATTTACGCCGAAGTTATAACATCGATGTTATGAAAGTGGCCAATCAGTCGTTCCATTCTTCGAAGGAATAGCTATGGTTGGCCAGTTTCATAACATCGATGTTATAACTTCGACGTAAATTGAGCCGTATAAACGTAGTCATGGCTGCCAATGTAATATTAAATTACACACAGGCAGCCTCAGCGTTCCAGAAACAATTGCGAATGGAATGCTCGATTGTGCAACTAAGATAGTGAGGAATAGTTACCATTTACTTAGCTACTTGTGTTAAGTACGCTTTTAATTTTAACTAACAAAATTGTTTGGCAACAAATATATTTTATCTTAAATAGTCAACTTTTAGTTATAACAACAAAATGTGATCTAGTAACTGATATTTAGCTGATATTACTAAGTCCTTTTTTTGCATAAACGTGTATGGCCAGCCTTATCAACAATTGTTGCTATCGTTTAGCGATAGCCAATGTAAGAACGATCCTGGAAAAAACGCGTCTCTCATTGGTTGTTGCGTGATAGTGACAATCGTCAAGAAGACATTATAAAATGCCGCTACTAATTTGAAACCGCTCATATATATATAAAAACCGTCAAACACAGCATCAGTCATATGAGTTAGTTGGAGTTGTGAATTGTACGGAATTAAAAATCCATTATGTCCCGCATAATGATAATATTATTTGCCTTCGGATTAGCGATATTTGTTGCTGCAGGTAACTATACATTTAATAACATTGATTTTCTGTATTTTTATAAAAAAAATTTGCTGATGTAGTATAAGTTAATAAATATTTGTTTTTTGTCGGAATGTTTTTATGAAATGGCTCATTAAGCACAAAAATATCTAAGTTATATTTACAATAGGGTAACTCCGGTATATACGCCGCGCTGGAATTTACGCCGCGTAAGTCAGAAAAAATAGAAGAAGTGGGGGTAATTTTCTCGCAACTACTCGCGCTGTTACATGCCTTTATGTTATATTAGTATTGAGTTATAATTTTAGCTTCTTACTGTTAATATTAATGAAATTATTGTAAGTTGAATCGATTTGTCACTGTGTGTGTAACAAATAGCATCATCATAAATTATAATCTATATAAAATGATTACTGTAAGGCGTGTAAAAGACCTAGTGGTTATTTCGCGATACATACGTGTAGA